AATCTACTAAAAGAGCTTCTAACAACAATCAATTTAGACCACAAACACTAGCCACTATATCACATATAATACAAAATTTCCACAACTATACTACTAGGTAACATTAATACACATACGAAATTAAATAAATATTACACATAGCACTATATAACTACCAGCAAAATGCAATAATTTCACTAACCCTAAAATAAACAACAAAAAAAAACCGCTCACGCTTCCAAACTATTAGGACATGCAAAAATAGGAATGGCGTCGCACGAAAAAACTTTAATAGCAGAAAATATATTAAAGATTTTTTAAAAATGACGGAACTTAAAAAAAGAAATCATTAATTAGCATAACTCCTATGAATAGTCTAAGTGGACCCTAGTTTCTATTACTTTTAATTCGAATTAATCCAATAAGGCATACAGTCATCTTTAACAAAGATAGGGCAAGCACCGAAATACTGAAATGATTAAAGAGAGGCCTCACCTGACGCTAATAAAGTCAAAAGCAAGAAGGAGGTGATGATGTGATTCATTATGTACCTGTACTTGTGTCGCTTGACAGGTATACATATTAATTAGTTGACCTATCTCTACTTGCGTTCTCTTCTAGGTTGGATGACTCTGGTCTCTTTGAGTTTATGACATTCCCCGCTTGTCCGAGCTTTTGTAGGCCGAAACAACTGCTTAGATGAGAAGAAGTAAGAGCAAAAGTCAAAACAAGAAGGACAAATAATTTTCACTTTCATTTGATGATAACAATAAGATAAAAGCTGTGGGGAGTGCTAAAAAGGCCAAAAAAAATCCATAATAAAGAATATCAAAAGGCAACTAAGAAGGGATGGAGGAAACGAAAAATGAATGCTCCTATCTTTTATCAAATCCTAGGGACATGGTCTAATCACGAGGGTAGTATTTTATCATGGCGACGGATCCTGAGTTTATATGGATTCCTTCTTTGTTACCACGGTCGACCCCTAAACCATAATGTCTCAAAACGAGGAGCGTGAAAGCCATTTAACTGTAAGAAGAGGATGCCATAGAGAAGTTTCTTTTATTCCTTTATTTCGAACTTCGTGAAGAACTCCATTCTATCTCCCTCATTACGAACAAAAAAGTGGAGTGAAATCACATCTATACACTCCCTTCGTTCTATGAATCCTTGTTATACTGAACTTCGTTCATGAAGGAACCGGACTTTTGACGGGCCAACCATTTTTCATGCGCCACTTTACATTGGAAGGAAAATGAGCTTTGCTCTTCTGGGAGCTAGGCGCTCCTGTGGTTCGCGAGAAGGAAAACACATATTGCATATGGCACAAGATGATAAAGAGAGAGTGTCTATCAATGAGCAGTGGGTTGACGGCTACATACCAATAATCCAGCAAAAGGTCTGAAAAGTTCCTCTTCTCGCGGCTCTCTGTGTTGTCTAGGTCCAGCACCAGTCACAAACATAAACAGTAATATATCTCACAGATATAGCTAAAATCAAACAAATCCTCAAAGGGATCAGAGAGAGCTTTGAAGATTTACCTCTTAATAGTCCAATAGAGCTTAAATTATGTCAAAAGTTGAGAAAATTACCTTTGATTTATAGTGACGCCTAAGGTCTAAGAAAAGAAAAGTTCAGAGAGAGGTTAGAGAAAAGAGAGAGTATTGTTTTATTTGTAAGTGAAGTTGCTAAAATAATATCACAAATGTATATTGTTTCTATATATGTTCTTTCTAAAATGATTGTATCTACAAATAAAGAAATATAAAAGATAATAAACGATATTTATGGGTGATGAAAAATATTGAAAGAATTAAGAGACAATCGACGTCACTTTCATTTAAAGATTTCATTCTTCGGTAGATACACTAAGTAGAAAAAAAAAGTTCAGCACACTAAGTAAACAAACAACATCCTAAAACCGCAATTACAAAAATGAAAGAGATTACACTCTAAGTAAATCAACATTTAAGCAAAATTATTAACATACATTAAAGATATGATACTATAAGTAATGAAACACCTTAGTGAAAATATATATAGAAAAATGAAAGAGATCTTACACTACGTAAACCAAGAACTTAACCAATGTTTGGATACATCAAAAAAACAGATTCCATCCTGATATTTTTTTGAAGAAAAAGTGATATTACTTATAAGAAAGTAGATACAACTCTATCTAGCTTCACAAACATCTAATAAATGTGACGTCATTACAAGTGTAAATTATGTCTCACTAATTCTTGTCGGGTAAAATCATGCCTTAGGAATTCAACATCAATTGCAATAGACATCTGATTCACAATAATCTATTATCAAACTATAAAGGAAAATACAGTAAAACATACTACCATATTTATTAGAACCTAATGCAATAAGAAATTCGACATTTATGTTACGTCGAACAATCTAGTAAAAGTGATTCTAACAACAATAAACTAAGACCATCAATAGCAGATACTATAGCACATACAGTACAAAAACACCACAATTAAAATATAACTAACAACAACAAATTTACATAGATGCAAAAAGTGCAATTAAATATTTACAACATATAGCACAAAATTCATGCAAAATCCAACAACTTCACTAACCCTAAAATAAACAAATAAAAACTGCTCACAGTTTCAACCAATTAGCGCATATATCAACAAAAGAGAATTATTTCACTAACCACTGGTAATCAAAATTTAACTGATACTCCTACTTGGACGCCTAAAAGTAATGGTATTTTCTCTACTTCTTCTGCCTGGAAGCATATTAGACAGAAAAGTGAGATTTCTTAATTCTTAAAGATGATTTGGCATAAGCATCCACCTTTTAAAATGTCCTTCTTAATGTGGAGATTTTTGAAAGGTAAGTTACCTTTTACTGATACTATTGCGGCTAAATTGACTGTGATGCTAGGTGTTTGTTGTTCTATTGACCAAAGTGATACTATGCACCACACTTTCATTTGGGGGGGGGGGATTGCAGAATATAGACGGATTTTTTTTTGGAAATCCAGTTTGAATTTCTTGGGAGGATGTACCTATCAAGTATATGCTCTAAAATGGTGGGCTATCAAGCCAAAAAACTCACTCCATCAGACTATGTTAAAAATTACTCCTCTCGTAATTTGTTGGGAGATATGGAAAGCGAGATGTTCAGTAGTTTATGGAGGAAACAATTGTAATACAAAGAGGATCCAATATTATATTTTATCTCATCTAAAATGGGTAGTTTCCAGGTCAAGACTAATACAAAATGGAGCTCTAGGTGGGGAGTTATCTATCAACAGATTATTGGCCTTATTCCAAAAACTGATTGTACAGTTGTTAAATGGCTTATGCCCCCTGAAAATGTGGTGAAGATTAATACTGATGGAAGTAGGGATGCCATTGATAGAGCTGGAACTAAAGGGATTTCTAGAGATCACTGAGGCAAAATTATCATGGCATTTACTCAAAGTATTGGTAGGGATACTAGCAATATGGCTGAAGCCAAGGCTGCTCAAAATGGCTTGGAATAGCGTTCTCAAGTTAAAATGGGTATAACAATGTATTCTTGGAATGTGATTCAAAGATTGTTCTAGAGATGATCAAAGGTAATTACAATATCCCTTGGCAAATGAAAAATATCATAACTCGTATTCAATATATTTAAAGTACTATTACTTTTGAGGTTAGACATTAATTGTTACAGGGAAGGAAACCAAGTTGCCGATGCATTGACAAAATGGAGTATTAGAAATGAGGAGTTGTTTATTTCTAAACAGGCTCACCTACCATCGATAGCTAACGGACCTTACAAACTTGATCTCATACAAATTGAGTCTCCAAGGCATTTGCAAGCGAAGAATTATTTTGTATAGAACTAATCTTTTTAATTTGGATAGAACTTGTATAGTTTTTGTCAGAATCTTAGTTTTGCTAAGAAGCTACTGAAACAATGAGTTGAGCTTAAGTTCTCCTTTTCTTTGTGATTTTATTCATCAATATAAATGTTTCACCACCATATGGTGATAATTTAAAAAGAAATGAAAACCCCGTAGGAAAAACTTCGTTTTAGAAGAAAAACATATTAAAGAAAATATCTTAAATTATAAAACTTCTTGAAGAAATCTAGGTCCATCTCCAACTACAAACAGAACAACCAATATATCTCACAGATTTACCTAGAATCACAGATAACCAACTTAAATCACCAAACGCCAAGTAAAATCACACAAACCCTCAACCAGATGGGAGGGTTTTTGATGATTTTAGCTCCTAATAGTCAAATAGGAGACTAGAATAGTGTAAATCTGAAATCGTTTCTGATTTGTGGTAGCGCCTAAGGTCTAAGAATAAAAAAGTTTTGAGAGAGGTTAGAGGGAAGAGAGAGTATTGTCTGATTTGTGAGTGAACTTGCTGAAATAATATCACTATTTATATTGTTTCATTATATGATTTTTAAAAAATGGTTATATAGAAATGAAGAAATATAAAAGATAATTAATGATATTGGTGGGTGATGAAAAATATTTAGGGAAAATGTGGACGCTCAATGAACCATGACAATGCATGTTGATTTTCATATACTCATTACCATAAATAGATGACTTTTTGAAATATGTTGTGATAGTTAACACTATTGCAACAATCATATTATATGACAATGGTCATATGACTAAGACCTGGCAATAGCTAACAAATCTTTGGGCAACGGTCAGAATCATTGCACTAGACAGGTTATAGGATTGATTTTTGAAATGTTTACTAGTAAGTCTGTTTCCATAGACCCAATTTATGGTTGTTATATAGTAGCAAGAAAAGTTCACACACTGTTTAGGGAGAAAAATGATTGTACTCTTGGTATTGATTGAGATTACATACACTTGTATTTGTAGAAGAGACTAAGCAACCTAGTATAGTTTATACATGTAAAATAAGAGTTCTATTCTAGCTATACTGCTCATAATCCTAATCAAACACTTCTTCTTATCATTCGAATTTCAAAAATGGCTGACCCCTATCTTCATGTAAAATGATGATAATTTAGAGACTAAACAACTTTTCATTCTTACAAACAAGAAGGAATGAAAATCAACCAACATTAGATTATCGATCCCAAATTTCATTTCTTAACAAAAACTTCATCACTACATCAAAATTCATTAGTGCTATATGAAATCAACAACAAATACATAAATACTTCCAATAACTGTACATTCAATATAGAAAGGAAAGTATGGAAAAAGGATAAAGAAGCTAAAAGCTTCAATGAAAGCGCATAACTCATATCCACTTCCCAGAATGAGGCTATCGAACCTGTTTGTGTTTCATACTTGATCCGACTGCCTCAACTCTTTTCGGAGAGTCTGAGAGAAAGGCCGACAAGCATCCATACTAAGATCTAAAGCAGCTGCCAATGCAACAAAAACTGCAGCATCCTCCGAGCAGCTCACGTGCTGCGCCCCTACAATCACCTCCGGCTTACTACATTTTCCATCACCCTTCACTGTGGATGACATCACAAATCCACGGTGCAAAATCTGTCCCAAATATCCAGATGATCCAAAATCTGACCAAGACCCAGAGACTGAGGAGAAATCAAAGCTGTTGTTTGCACTAGCCATTGTTGGGATAGAAACATTTGTGATATCTATGTTAAATTTCCCACCATTCTTAGTGTTGATGGTTGAATTGACCAATTTTATAGTATCATTGGCACCATCAGGGATGATTTCAAAGCAATAACCAAGTTCACCACTATTCTCTAGCCATGCTTGTAGGCGTCCCCATGGCTTCCATGTACCCTGATCTGGACGGAGGATGAGCCAGGATCCAGGGTTTGATCCGTTCACCCTATTTGAACCTTGTGATGGGACAAATGGGGTCACCATGGATGCTGCAGCAATTGGTGAGCCTGAGAGGTCATGGATTGTCACTAACCATCCCTTTCGCTCTTTTCTCCGTATTGCATTACCAGTTGTCCAACAGTTAAAGCAGCCTATTGATGTGCTTCCTTCTGATAGCGAAGATCTACAAAACAAAAATAATGATGATAATTGAGATTTATATGGATTTCAAGTTAAATTTAGTTAATTTGACAATAATTGAAACAAACCTTGATATCGAATTCCAATCACCAGGGTTCTTGAAACTGAAGTTGCAAGTGAAAACAGGTTGTTTCACATTACCATTAACTTGAAAAACCAGTGGACTACACTCCGGTTCGCCATCAAATTGGAAAATAAATCTTGGGTCGGGTTGAACTTTCACATTCAGATGCACTTTTGCTACACCAACCAAAACCCATCCATTCTTAATCACAACTCCTCTACTACCTTTACGTTCAAAACCCTTCAAATCCAATTCAACAAACACACTCCCCAAAATCCTCCCCCCAGTATAATATCCAAAACCAATTCCCATACTCTTCGTTGCACAAATTTCAATCTTCAAACAACATGTTTTTCCTCTAGCAATTATTTTTTCAATGTCGGTTTTGTTCAAATTGAAAGAGGCATGGATTTTGTTCTCTATAACAAGGTCTTGTTTAGGAAACGCGTTGATGGTTGAAACTTGTGTTGGAAAACCTTTAAGCTTAATGTTACAATCAAGAAACACACACGAAGGAAGATTCCGATTAGCTGGAAGCATTACCGCTAAGTTTGCGATAGTGATTCGAAGGAAAGGACAAGGATCCATTTGTTCACAAGATGAACATAGGAGAAGAAGTGATTTATAGAAATACAAAATAGCAAGCTGGCAATAGAGGGGATGGAATGCGTGGGGAATGAGGTGTGTGCCCGTTATTTTAGAAGGGATGTGTCCGCAAGAAACATCATTTATCTGTCAATAAGCCAATCACTTTTGGTGTGATATAACTTGTCTTTTTCTAGACACTCTCTTTCATCCTAGGATTTTATTGGGTTCTATATAGAATGTTCACACATCTATATATATAGTTCATCTCTTTTTCTTTATTTGTATTTATCTTGTATATATTAATTATATTTATTAAAAAAAATTTGACATGATTGTATTATCATATTAATCCTATAAATGAATGCTCCCTCTATTTCATTATCATATAATTCCTATAAATGAATACTCTCTCTATTTAATATTAAGTGTATTAGTGAACTAACCATTCGTACATCCTAATTAAGAAAAAATGTTAAAGAAATATCCATTTCGTCCACTTTTAATTGTTATAATTTCATTTTTAAAGTCAAACAATAAGAATTTTAACTAATATTTTTGGATGAATTTTTCATCATATTGAGATGCAATAAAAGGTACTTTTTATATAGTTTTTGAATAGCTAAATATTTTTTAATATTTATCGAATTAATATAATCTGGTTTAAGTTTGCAAATTAGTCAAATTGAATTTCGTAAAGCACAACGCTCCCTTGTCCCAAATTAGTTGATCATTGTACTAAAAATAGTTTTCTCATATATGTTAGTTTTCCACCTTACTAAATCAAGAAGATGTTAATTGAATTGTTTCTATATTATCCTTGCAATTGTTTCTTTTTTACAGTGTTCACATTTGTTTATAAAATTCTCAAATTATCGTTTATTTATACTGTCTTAAATATGGTGAAAACTGAAAGGTGATCAATTTAAATGGGACTATTTGTCCATTTATGAAATAATAAATATTATTCGGCAAATAGTATAATTTATATGCCAGGAAATATAAAATTTCATTAATGAAAAGAGAAAATATGGGAAAATATTCAAATATTTGTCTTGAAACTTGAAAAAATTAATTATTTTGAAAAATGGAAAAAAAAACCCAAAAAATTAATTTATAATATAGATAAGAGGAAGTTTAATAGTATTTCTTGAAAAAATGGTTTAAATAATAAATAGTTGATGTCAATGGCAAAATATAGAAAAGAAGTATTTTTTCACTTTTTATGAGAAAAGTGAAAAATTATGTTTGAACCGGAGGTCTTCGATTCAAGTCCTAGATATGAAGAAAATTATGTTGAGATTGTCATTCTTGAACTATGCCCTGCATTGCACGATCTATATTTAATCAAGGCTCCAATGAGGACTTCGAACACTGGGTAAGAAACCCAAAAAATGAAAAATTATGTTTGAAATATTTGAGAAATCAAATTAAAGGGTCGTACTATTTTCAATGCTAGTAGTCTTTGTTACGCTCTAAGTTTTTCTCATTATTTTTCTTCTTTTTGGTACATGAACCTATTGTCAAGGAAGTACAGGGTATATTCTTTTAGGAATCGTTTTTAGAGTGTATTCACAAAAATGATGTATGCATTAGCTTTTTATATCAACAATATTTTGTTTGGTACTTTTTTCATGTTATGTGTATATGATGTTTGCATCAATTATACACTCTATTGCATATAAGGTGATTGTTACTAATAATATGAATCTTTAGGTATTAGTAATGCAATATGTTTTAATGCACGCATTAGCCTTGTTAAAGACCTCATTGCCCCTCAATTTTTTTTATATCTTGTCCATCATAATAATAAAATGTATCTTTGTAAATAAATATTTTTATTCAATGCATGTTTTGTTTTAATATACCAAACCAAATATATATAAAAAATAACTTATGTATAGTTAATGCAAGCATTACTAATAAAATCATATTAATGCATGTAAGCATTAGTAATCCACTCTACCAAACGACCCCTTAGAGACATGCAAAGAACAACTCATGTACCATCATTAGCGGTGTTCTAATGAAAATGGATAAACTACACCAAAATCAATAAACCAAGTCAATGTGTGTATGTATCTATATATATATATATATATATATATATAGAGAGAGAGAGAGAGAGAAAGTCCTTCCGTTTATAGAATAAGGTAGTTTTACTTGACATGATAAAAAGACAACTTTTCAATATTATGACCCTGAAATAAAGTTATATCAAATGTACCATAATGTTCTTTAATGATATAGTTTTTCTTGACATGAAGTTGAAAAAAAAGATGACTTTTCAATATTATGACCCTAAATTAAATTTATATCAGATGTACCAAAATGTTCTTTAATCTTTTGAACATTAATATATCATGTGGGAAGCTGGAATTAAATTGTTGCAAAAAAAATTGATCATTGATTTTTTAAACAAACTAAATAGAAAAATAATTTAAATCATACTTTTCGTTATTTTTCCTTTGATGAAATAATAATTGGCATGATTACTTTATCCTATTATTCTGCAAATTCATATTATCTCTGTTTCATATTAAGTTAATTTGTGAGGCAATGCACACAAATTAAGAAATATATTTAAGGAAAAAGTTTAAAGGGAAGTGGTAAATAGCCAAAAAAGTTGCCCAGAAAATTTAAAAAATTATATATTTTTTTGTTGAAATATAATATATAATATTTTTTAATTTTAAAAGAAATAGATTTTTTCTATTTTTAGTTAAGATGTTAAATTTAAAAGGGTAGAAATGTCTTAAAAGGTAAAATAACTTAGAGAAAAAATCATCATGGCAAAATATTCTTGCGAAAAATATTTTTCCTAATTTAAATTATATTTATCGTTATTTGTTCATTTATGAAATCATAAGTATAATTTGTAAGTATAATTTATCTCCTAGAAACTATAAGACTTCATTCAAGTAAATAACAATTATGGAAAAAGTTTCAAACATATGTGTTGAACTTTGAACAATACAATTATTTTGAACAATGAAAAGGTCCTAAAAATTCGCTTCGGGCCTATTTTGGAAGCCACCTGACAATGGAAATTGGTATAATTAGGGGGCATTGTAACTATACAGTCTAGTAATCACATTGACCCATTTGTTTGCGAAAGTGTAATTACATTGTCACTACATATGTATGGTTTGGTTGCACAAGTGCAATCATAATATTATATATATTGATATTAAATAAAATATTTAACATATATATTGTCTACAAAAAATATAGTAGTCAACAAACATATTTTTTAACTAATATTATAAATGAATTAATTAATTTGTATTATTCAAATTAGTATATTTTAATTAAATTAATAATAAAAACTAAAAGTGTAAGGTTTCTATGAACATGAAAAGACATGCTTTGACAATAAGATTATCATTATAAATATGACGTCAAAAACTAGAAAAATATTTGACAAAAACACAATTTTATCAAGTCTAACTAAAATTAATTGACTTGCAGTATAAAATATCAAGTCAAAACTACTTCGGGCTACAAGCCTACTCATCATCAAACCAAGTCCAAACCCATTCAAGAGAGTAATTGGCCCTGCCAATTACACCTAATTGTCTGTTTACCGAGTAATTGCATTGCCAACCAAACATGTCAGACAATGTAAGTACACCCAATTACACCAAATCTAATTAGTAGAGTGACTTTTCAAAGAAATCCTTAATATGAAATAGAGGAAGCATTTAGTACTATTGTGACATGAAAAATGATTTAAACAATAAATAATTAGTGTTAAGGGTAAAACATAGAATAAGAAAAAAAATTAATTTTCTTAATATGTGAAAAATGAAAAATTTATGTTTGAAATAATGGAGAAATACAATCAAAGAGGGAATATCATCTACCCTTACTAGTAATCTTCATTACACCCTAAGTTTCTCTCATTAATTTTTTTTGTACATGAACCTATTGTCAAGAAGACATATATATCATAAGTAGCGGATGTGTCAAACATGAGCCCAATCTTAGGCAATCTACATAGAGTTTTAAGGGTTGAACTCCAGATAATTTAAACTGAGTTCAATCTCAACCCATTCAAGTCTTAACTCATTTTTATGTGAATCCTCAATTGAGCTCAATTTAATCTCCAATCTCAACCCATTTTAGACTCTTTATTTGCATTTATGTAATGTATGTTCATATATTTAATGAGGTATGAATTATTATCTATTTTATATATTTTGGATTTATCTATCCAGTTGTAACCTTTTTTTTATTTGTAAATTTTCACGAGATAACATTTAAAATGTGGTTATAAGACATCGATAAGAATATATTAAAAAGTATAACTTACCTAAATCTCGTACTGTAAGGTGTAAATTACATCTTATCCCTACTCTTTTTCTAACTACAATAATACCTTAAAATTTAGACATTCAAGATACATAAATCACATTCGAATACATTAATTCTAAAAATAATAATCTTTTTGTTAAGATAAAAAGGGAATAAAAATCTGAAAATTAATTAATCCCATGAATAACACTTACGTTTCTTCTTACTCTGAATCATACAGAGGCAAATCCTAACAGAATGAAAAAATTCAAAATTCAAAATTGCTTGCCCTATTCAAGGAAGAAATCTTTGAGATTTGATTAAAAAAAATTTGTCGAAAATTTGGTTAAGCACGATGAGTTATGAAGGATACAAAAGTGATAAAATTGTAGTTGGACAAACGATTTCCTTTTGAATCTTCAAGTTCATCGAATATCCTTTCATATTTTATTCAAGATTATAAATTTTTTAAAAAATTGACGATTCTTCTCCAAGTTCATCGAAGATCTGATTCAAAATTGTTGAAAATTTTGAGATTCAAAATACTTCTCCTAGTTTATTGAAGATCTTTTTATTTTTGAACAAAAATTATCAAAATTGTTTAGAAGATACATCAGTAATATCTTTTCTACTTAGCATTTTACTATTTATGTATCTTGTTTAAATTGATAAGTATTGTATTTATATTACATACATTAATAAATAATTTTTGCCCATAATAAGATGTTTGATTTGAGATCGATAAATTACCGTGTGGTAGTTACCATATAACTTATACATTTTAGTATACATTCGAATTTATGTATCATGTCTAAATAATTAGTGCATTACACATTACAATTTATGTATCTTGTTTGAATTGATAACTATTGTATTTATACTAGATTCATTAAATACTCAATTTCTTTCCATAAGATGTTTGGTTTGAGGTTAATACATTACTGTGTGATAGTTTTTATGTGTTCGATACATTTAGTATAAATTTGAG